CACAGCAGACCTCTCCTGTCTCTCCTGCTGCTCCCCTCAGCATTGTATTTCAGTAGATCTGCTGTTCGACTTCCCACTGTCTCTGGTGAATCTACTCACCTTCTACACCTCTGGCCTGTACCCCAGTTCTTGCATGCATAAATAAAATAAATCTTTAAAAGAGAAATATTGGGTTATGTTTCAGAACTTGAAGTCCCACCACACTTTGCCTCCAAGTGAACAGGGAAGATCTTCAAATAGAAAGAGGTGAATACAGAAGAACAGGCAAGAGGTTAGGGCCCTTTCCCAGTGGAAGGCACAGCTTCTTGTATCTTCATTGCTTATTGGATCAGTGCTGTCACCAGCCCAGTGTGGAGGAGACTGGAAGGAACTGGCCTCAACACTTTCCTCTGTATACAGTATGACATCACTGGAAGGATCACTTATTCTAGGGCAGTGGTCATTGTTGGAGTCAGCACCAGAAGACTGAAGTCCAACATTGACCAGCCCAGCCTCCTTTGTTTCATATGGATCACTAAACTCCAGATACAATTCAGTGATTTGGGGCGGCAGTGGCCAGATTCCATTCTGGAGAATAAGTAGAGGGTATTGTTGGATGTCAGGGGAGGACCAATCTATTAACCTGCCTGTGAGTTCAGTGGCAGGCAAGAAATTGGAAGAAGGGACCTGTGCTTCAAAAGGGGTGGGGATGATAGGGCCTGGAAGGTACTACATGAGACTTTAGGTTTAGAAGGAAGTGGTGGTATAAAAGTCGCTGTCCATGGTGCCACCCAGGAGCTGCCATTGTACTTTGCAGAAGATTACAGCACTAGGGTTATTAACAGCCTGATCAGCTGGAAGCTACTGACTCTGATGGGGGGGGGATAGGTTAGGGATAGAAGCAATGAAAGTAACATGCACAAGGGGTGGTGAGTATTGGGAGCCCTGGGGTACATGCTTTGCTCTTTTAAAAATTGTGGTGAAACACACTGTAAAATTTACCATTTTAACTGTATTAAAGTGCACAGTTCAGTGGCAATAAGTTCACTCACAGTATCACATGACCATCACACAGCATTGTTTCAGAACCTTTTCATGTGATCAGTCCTCCCTCATCCTCTGGCAACTGTTTATCTACTTTCTTTCTCTCTGGGTTGTGCATGGATTTTATGTCAGATAGATCTGGGTTCATTCCTGGACTTGCCAATTATATAGTGTACTTTTACTCAACAAATCTGATTATCTGAACCTCCATTCTTTGAAGTTTTAGGATGGGGGAAAAAATGCTTAACCTGCAGGTTTCTTACGAGAATTGATTATATGTTAAATGTTTAGCTGACTACCTTGTTTATTCTTGAGTAGACATGCAGTGAATGGTAGGCATTGTTTGCTTTGTGGGCTCCTTTAAATTGTTCAGGATTGTTTTTAAACTGCTTATCCACTAAACATTCAGGCAACACACAATTTAGTCTTCCTTTCTGATAGGTGGTCAAGTAGGAACTTCACTTTTGTCTTCAAGGCTTGTTGAAGAGATGAGAGATAATCATATATCAAGGATTATTTGTTGTAAGCTCTAAAATGCTGTTGGAACGTAAAGAAGTCACTCATGGTGGTTAGATGCTTAGTAAATACTTTAATTAGTGAATGAATGAATGAATGGTTGAACATTCAAATATATAGAGGTAGGGCAGAGGCTGGGTCACCATCTCCAAAATATAGTCTGGTCACTAGGACACAGAACAACCTTTAAGGTAGATAAAAGAAACTGGATTTTGAAGGTCGCTTTTAGATGGTCAGTCCAAAACATCTGGGAAATTGATATACTCTGGCAAGGAAAGTAAGACAAGGAAGGCACAGTACTAGGAGGAATTTTTACTATTAATATGGGGAAGGAAATGACACTCTGGTGTATGTCAGTGGTCACTCAGGTTGAGATGTCGTATAGAAAACTCACAGGTCAGATTGAGTCCAACAGGACTTTATATTGAAATCTTTCCTCTTTGAAAAAGCAATTCCTGTTTCCGTAGCCCTGTCTGTGAGCTTAATGGATTGTTAGTTGATAGACTGAGAGGAGCTAGGCCTCACTTCTCTCTTTCCACAGGCTCTAACCCTCATCATCCTATTCCTGTTTTGTTTTCTTATCATACACGTTGTAATCTGACACCATATTTCATATTTTTTATTTACAGTCCCTTTATTAGAAAGCTCTTTTGAAGCAGATGATTTCATTACCACTCTGTGCCTAGCATACAGTTGGCACTCAGTGAACATCTGCTGAACCTTGAGAGGAAAGTATGTATGTGTATAAATAGTGGTATGATTTTTTTTCTAAATACAAGATTAATACCTGTTTCCTCTAAAAAAATAAAAAAGTAGATGTTTGGACATTGGAGAAATTTGTCAACAATAACAAACCCCTGAGAAATGTGCTTGATTGAGTTCATGTTAGTTGAAGTGCTTGGTCCAATCAAATCAATTTGGTTGACTTAATTCTGGCTTTATTTTGTTTGGTTTGGTCAGGTTTGGACAAAAAGGTGCTGGTAAGGGAGGGTTACTCCACAGGGATTACCTTCTGGAACACAGGATCTTGAGCCAAACATTAGGTCCTTACTTTTTCTGGGGGATCTCTTTCTCTAACCTCCTGTAATTGGTATATCATAGTTAGGCCTGTATATGACTTCTGAACACTGCCATACAATGTGTTTCATTTAATGGGGTTTATAGAGATTAGATCATGCACAGGAAGCTGGCTCTGTTGTTATCTGGTTCCACAGAGGAGTCAAGAGGCTTACAGGGTGTGAAAAACCAGGGCTGATTTAAAGGGATAGAGTTCTCTGGGAAAGCAAAGAGATACTCCCAGCCTGTGTCTCCATAAACAGCAGTTTCCTACTTCCCTACACCTTGTACACTATCACTGTCTGCACTATCAGTTCTTAGTTGATTTATTATAGCAGTGAAATTTTGAAATTCTGTTGTTTTTCTTTGGAGTTTGAATCCATTTTGTATTTAATACTTTGCTGTTTTTATTGAATTATGTTGTTGTAACTGGCTTATTGTTATTATATTGTTTTACTTGTTTTATTCTTCCTATTAGATCATCAATAAGAGATAAGGTCTCATTCATGTTTGTATTTACTACAATGCCTAGAACAGTGCTTAATTTCAATGTATGTTCAGAAAAAGTTGGTTGAGGGCCCTCCCTGTTGGCACAATGGGTAAGGACACAGCACTGCAAGCAAGCCACAGCAGCTCCAGTGCGAGTTCAATCCCCAGCCAGGGAGCTGACCCACAGGGTGCAGCAGACCTTGCCTGACCCGCCCACTGCTCGCCTCAGCAGTGTACTTTGTTGATCTGCCTGTTCTGCTCCCCACTCTGTCTCTGGTGAATCCTTTCACCACCCCTGCCCCCTGGCTTGTACCCCAGTTCTGTAAGCATAAATAAATAAATAAATAAAAATCTTTAGAAAAAAGAAAAAGTTGCTTGAAGGCATTTGTGCTAGCCTTTTGGAAAGGTGCAGCTGAAATACATAATGTAACTATTGTAAATAAAAGTCAGCATTTTCATCCATAACCCTATAAAACCTCTGTTTTTGAAATTTTTTTTAAAAAAGATTTATTTGTGCATAAAGAACTGGGGTACAGGCCAGAGGCTCAGGGGCGGTGAGAGGCTTCACCAGAGACAGAGTGGGGAGCAGAACAGGCAGATCGAGGAAGTACACTGCTGAGGGGAGCAGCGGGCGGGTCAGGAGAGGTCTGCCGCGCCATGTGGTCACCTCCGGGGCAGGCGGGAATCGAACTCATGCGGAAGCGGCTTTAGATTCTCAGTGCTGTGCTTTAACCTGCTGCGCAACCAGGGAGGGCCTGTTTTTGAAATTTAAGAGTGAACTGGGTATACCCATGTGGCCATTAAAGTCATAAATCTAGAGCAAGCTATGTTTGGGAGGGTCTGTTTTTTTGTTTTTTTTTCAAAACCACTTTTTCTAGGAACTCTCCTGCCCTGTTGCTGGGAATGCAAACTAGTACAAACACTATGGAAAATAAACACTATGGAAAACTCTTCGGAGGTTCCTCAGACTGCTAAACATGGAGCTTCCCTATAACCCAGCAATCCCACTCTTAGGTATTTAAGACACAAAAACACTGATTCAAAAAGATACCTGCACCCCCATATTTATTGCTGCTTTATTTACAATTGGAAAGACATGGAAACAGCCCAAATGCCCAAAAATGGATGACTGGATTAAAAAGATGTGGTACCTATACACAATGGAATATTACTCAGCAACCAAAAAAAAGAAACACATGCCTTTTGTAGCAACCTGGATGGAGCTGGAAAAGATCATACTCAGTGAAATAAGCCAGAAAGACAAGGAAAAATACCAGATGGTTTCACTCATAGCAGGAATATAATGGAACAGGCGAGAAAATAATGATAATGATAAACTGCCATATACCTGAGACATTTTGTGGGGGTGGAGTGGGGAATGGAATCAGAAACAGTGGGGGGAGGGAAATGCACTGGACTATGGTGATGGCACAGGGTGATTTGGTGATGGGAATTCCAAGGGGATTGCAACTGGGATAGAAAAATGCACAAAATGATGTAAAAATAAGCTATTATATATATATACATATATAAAATAATAATAATAAAAAAGAACCCACTTTTTCTATATGGTAGCAAATGCTTGTTAATTTCTAAGAGCCAGACCTTCAGCAGTAAGAGAATTATTGTAGAGGTGAAAATTAAATGGGTTAGGCAGATTCGGAGTAAAAAACAGAAGAGAAAGGGACAAATGAATGTGTGACAATTACGAGGGCTACAGTGGGAGAGGCCACCACTCCTGCAGGCGCCCTGTTTGCCAACCTCACGTGGGCTCGTGAGCCTAAATCTGAATGTCCTACCATAGGACTGGCGTGCTGCTTCCAGTCAGACTAGAAGGGCTGCTGATAGTTGTATGGTGTTTGATTCCCACTGTCTGGCCTTGCGGCCAGGTACCTCTCACCATTCCTGTTCCCTAGGTGTACGTGGTCGGAAATGAACCTTCCACAGTGCTGCTGGGCTCCCTGCTCCCAGTGCTGGGCGTGCTCTTCTGTCTCTACTGTTACACCAAGCAGAGCGTGTCTCACATAAGGTAAACAACCTAGAGCTCTCTATTTCCTTATAAATGTGTTGTTTTTGTTCTTCTTTTGAATACACTTGCTCCACTTTGTAATGATTTTCTTCTTTCAGTCAGGAATACAGTTCACAGTCAGGAAAGCAGATCTTATTCTGCTCATCTGGAAAAGAAAGAGTTTTGTAGATGGCATGGGATTGGATATAGTTTCTAGAATGACTTCCCTTCTTTGTTCTAGACACCAAAGACAAAAATCTCTGTTCACATGTATAAACATGCCACTGTTTGATCAGTGAGAAATACTGGAATTACATGTTTAAGAATGGAGGAGATAGGGGTTGGGTCATACCTGCTTTGTGGGGAGTCAAGTGGAGCTGAGGAAATATGTGGCACTCTAATGGGGGCTGGGATTTGTGTTATTGCTGCTCAATGTTGTTTTGACTGGAGGGATTTCTTAGGCATCCAGAAAATAATCTTTTGTATACAGGCTAAGTAGGATTCATTTTCTCTCAGCTGTATTTTCACAACTGCTTGTGTTGTTCCTTTTTTCCTTTTAAGAGCTAATGTTCTTTTATAAAATTCAACAGAATTCTGATTTCTGGTATTTCTAGATCCTCCTCTCTGTCTGTTCCCGGATATAATCCAATATACAATAAAGTACCTTCATAGGGTTATCATGAAGACTAACCGTGCACTAAAGTTGTTAGCCCTGTTCCTGGCAAGGAACCAATTCAGTAAATGGTAGCTTATTGACTGGAGATTACCACCCTTACTAATGAAGGAAAGGACTCCATCTCGCTTATCATTCAAAGTTTATGCTTTACTCATAACTTTTGGTCAATGCATCCTTCTAGCCACAGCCCCAAGAGCAGTGGCAAGAGAGAAAGCAGTGGAAGATGGTGGCTACAAATGTGTGGATTTGGATTCAGAGGACCAGCATGTACTAACTTTAGCAAGTTCTCAAAACAGCATCATGTCTTTCTCAGAGACTGAGAAAGAAGCAGACAGTCATTTGGTGGGCACAGATAGGGGATGAGGAATCAACGTTAAATTGTTGGTAGACTGCTTATTGGTCGCCAGCTCTTGGTTCCATTGATGGTAGATGGCATTGTCAGTGTGGGTTTTTTGTCATAGTGCCTGATTCAAAGGCAGTGGGTACACTTGGAAAAAAGTTAACATGGAGTGTATGTGTCATATCAGGGTTGCTACGAAAGCCAAGGATTAGTCAGTCACTTATTGAGTTTGAGGATATTTGCATTTCTGAATTTCACAGAAAGTCTACTTTCCATTCCTGCCCTTCAGTGGTACTAGGTGATTATGCCAGCATTCTAAATGCAGGGAACCTGACAGTCTTTCTTTTTTTAATGTTAGTTTGTTAGCTGTGTAGAGGAAGATGACAAGCTCATTTATAACTGTTTTTTCTGCCAGGTCACTTTGCCAAGAGATCTTATTATGGATTCTGGGGAAGCTGGAGAGGAAGAAGGCAATTGCTAGCCTGAAAGGATTTGCAAGGTTGGACAAATCTGTGCCCTCTCTCCATTCTCTGTGTCAGTTCAGAGCTGCCACCCAAGGGGGCATTGTGGTCGCCATCAAAGAGGCCTTTTGGTGAGTCCATTGGTACTTTACCATCTCTTCAGATTTCATTGTACCCAAAAGGCCATTTTGTGAGTCATCCACTAAGAGGCGCTGGTAGAAAGGGAACCAGAAGCTTGGGCAGCTCAGGTGCTGCTATTTATATTCTCTAAATGACAGAGAAGCCTTCACTAATTCTCCACACTTTTTCTCAGATATTAGTGAATCGTAGGTACAATTTATTGCAGCCTCACAACAAGCCCTGTTACTCTGAAGTCTTTGCAGTGATTCAGAGTGAGGGGAGGCATATGTTCACCCTCAACACCCACACAACCCAGTTCTTTCTCTGACTCACATAGTATGTGTGTGTTCAGAGTTATTTGTAAGGGAAATTGATACAATTGATCTTCTGTGGTAATTGTGTGATGGGGGTTTGTTTCTCATAGGGATTAATTTAGTAAATGCTAGTGGAATGGATGATTTATTTCTCCAATATCTCATGAGTATATTTTAAAGTATTCCCACTTTCTGAGTAATGGATATAGGATGCTATTGCCTCAGAACCTAAGTTCCTATTGATCAGATCCATATAGCATTTAACTGGTGAAGCTAATCAATTTAAATGCCCACTTCACATTCAAAACACTGGTTTGTTGAAGTGCTTAATTTTATTACTCATGGTTAACTTGATAAAAATTTAAAATACTCTTTTAAAATGATGCTCTTGATAAAATGGGGGAAAAGATTGCTTGCAAACAGAATTATCACTACAAACTCATGCTGTTAGCAAAAGTTGTTGAACATTGGAACTTTTTATGATTATAATCATGCCCTTGAATTAAGAGTTTAAAATCCTTTAGCCTGTTTATTTAAAGAACAGTTTGGAAAAACACACCAATTTAGTGACTACAGAGATAAATTTTTAACATTTAATTCATCATTTACTGCTATCTTAACAAGGCTTTAGTGCACTTAGTATACACACATCAAAATATTCAGGTTTGTTTTTTAAGATTTATTTTTATTTATTTATGCATAGAAGAACTAGGAAGTAGGCCAAAGGTACAGGGGCAATGATAGGATTCACCACAGACAGAGTGGGGAGCAGAACAGACAGATCGATGAAGTACACTGCTGAGGGGAGCAGTGGGTGAGAAAGGAGAGGTCTGCTGTGCCCTATGGGTCACCTCCCTGGCCAGTGATCAGGATCAAACTCATGCTGCAGTGGCTGGTGATAGCTTGATCAGTCTCTTGAGACTTTAACCCCTGCACCACCAGAGAGGCCTTACAGCTCTTTTTGAAAATATAGTCTCTAAAATAATAGGCAGTGATTTAAGTGATTCTCCATCTACTGCCAGAAGAGCAATGTAGCTTTGACCTGGGGCCTCTGCAGCAACTTCTAAGGGTCTAGGATCCCTTTCAAATTATATAGAGGGATTCTTATTTTTGAAAGCATGAATTTTTTTTCTTTCCTGAAAATAGCGTCTCTATTTTATTAGATACTAAAATATTTAGCCCATGTCTCCAAAAAATTGACACCCATTCCAGCCAAAGAAGTGTGTGTGTGTGTGTGTGTGTGTGTGTGTGTGTGTGAGAGAGAGAGAGAGAGAGAGAGAGAGAGAGAGAGGTTTCATCATTCTTTTTTTTTTTTTTTTAAGATTTATTTGTGCATACAGAACTGGGGTACAGGCCAGAGGCTCAGGGGTGGCGAGAGGATTCACCAGAGACAGAGAGGGGAACAGAACAGGCAGATCGATGAAGTACACTGCTGAGGGGAGCAGTGGGTGGGTCAGGAGAGGTCTGCCACGCCATGTGGTCACCTCCGGGCAGGCAGAATCGAACTCATGCCGAACTCATGTGGAAGTGGCTTATCTAAAGTGCTGTGCTTTAACCCACTGCACCAGGGAGGGCCTCATCATTCTTTTTAATGATCCTGCTCACATTGCTAGTCCCTTAAAGTTACAGTCACACAACACTGTTGGTACCTCCATATCTGTGCCACTATACCCAGTACAGGATAGCAGTGAGAAATTTGATTAAAGATACTCTTAAAAAGCAGCTAAGGATTAGGGTGATGGCACACGGTGATTTGGTGATGGGAAACCCACGGGGGTTACAATGGGATGGAAAAAAAAATGTACAAAATGATGTAAAAATAAACTTTTGTAATAATAATAATGAAAAAAAAAAAGCAGCTAAGATCTCATACTCTTTGGACATGGACGTTTTCTTTCTCTAGAACTAAACGTAACCAATTGACTCTTTATCATTAAAATTTTAAGAATGAATAAAATAGTGCTTCTTTAAGTCATTTTTTTTTTTTGAAGTATTTGAATCAGTACTTCATTCTCACAGTCAGGATGAGTCACAGAAGCTTAGAAGAAATGTTTATCCATTTAGGCTGCATCTCTAAATAAAATGTGGTGGAGATAATATGACCGAAATCTTCTAGAGGATTCTGAGATAATGTACAGGTAGTCGTAAGCTGAGCTCACGGGCTCTTCATTCTACCAGATGACAATAAAGGCCATGTCAACGGTGAACTAGCAGCTTGGGACATACTGACAAGTATTGATTACCTTCAGTAATTAACTTCAATAATTGTTATGAACATAACTTTGAAAACAGAAAGTCACTTCTCCCATTCACTGTTTATATTAAATATTTTAGTGTTTTTTTTTCCTAGTACATCTTCTGTGCCTTTGTATTTGTTTATATGACACAGTATAACCCTGTATCTTGGCTTTTATATGGTATAGTATAATAACATTGTATCTTTTACTTGTCAGATGCATAAAAGCAAAAAACCTTAGTACCCCATGAGAAATTTCTTAAAACTGCAGAAATCATAGCATGGTATTCCACAACTAAAGTCACATTTTATTACTTAGAGATCATATTTGCCCTACTCAGTTCTCTGAACCATTGTATATTTTTCTGTCTCAGCTAATTGGCTCTTCTGAGTTCAGATTGGCTGTGCTTCTCCCTCTGATAGCTGTGTCTCTTCCTCTGCCCAGTTCCCTTCACTGTTATCGGGAAAAGTTCAAGTTCTTTGAGTGGCATCAAAGCCCTCTATGACCTGACCTTGCTTTGTACCTTCTCACCGTCTGTTCCTCCTCAGGAACCAGAAGATCTGCATACAGCCTATATATTTTTCCTTCTTGGGTTTGCAACTTATTGAAATAATTAGTAATTCCTCAACATCCAAAGCTACTTCCGTCATGAATCTTGTCCCCATTTGAACATATGATTCTGCAAGTTATGATAGCCTGGCCTCTGAGATTAAATACTTTGCCATCTTGAAGAAACAGGAAAATAATTTAAACATTTAAAAAACTCTTTGTAATGATTTAATGTAGAAATAACATGTTACTTTAGAATAAAGATTATTACGGTGTTTGGGAAAAATATTACTCTCTGGTGACATTGCCCAGATAATTTTCTCCTACATTGCAGTGATGAAGATGAAGATGAAGCCCTGTATCAAAAGGTTTCCTCAGAGCAGAGCCAGATGGAACATCTTGGGGACTTGCTGTCCTACTGCCAAGAATGTGGTTTGGCAGGTGACTTCTTCATCTTCTGCTTGAAGGTAAGGACTTGAGACAGTCCGTAGGCAGCTTTGTTTCAGAACAGTACCAGTGCCCCTTTGAATTTTTGAGGCAGTCATAATTTTGTGTCCTAACGTTTAGGTTCTAATTCATGAGAAGTGATCAGAAGACAGAAGGGTAATTATTTGTTTTAGTAGCATAGCTTAGTAAAAACAAGAAATTTGTCTTCAACAGTATAGGTGATCAAACCACTTTCCACAGTAAACTGCCCTGAAATTTAAGAGAAGACCAAAGTCAAACTCTGATCTATCAAAGAGTTAATCTTTGCTCTGTGTTGACAATAAGAACTCTTTTGAAGTTAATAGCAGGTTTTACTGCTATAGAATAATCCCTTATCCTTTCAGACTGTTGTTTTGTCAGGTATTTGGAAAGGAGATTTAGCAGTTCAGCCTTTCTCATTTCATTTTGTAACCACTTGAAACCTTTTCCTGGTTGGTTTCTTAGTGCTGGTGATTGTGCTTCCTTTTGCTCTGATTGTCCACAGTAACTTGGACTGCATACTGTTCCTCATTGTTTGCACTGTTAAGACCAGAAGCCAAGCCATCTCTGATTCTCTGTCCTCCAGCTCTCCTCCACTCTTTCCCCCTAAATAAAGTGTCTACTCCAAGAGAACGTCTGTGGAGTTTAAGGTTGGTGGGTGTGGAAGAGTGCAGAGAGGGAATCAAAGGCAGTGTGTCCAGAACTGGAAGGCAAGACCCTTTTTTAATATTGAATTATTTTTATTGAGGTAACACTGACTTTTGACACTGTGTATGGTGTTGGGTGTAGGTTCGCACTTCTTCAAGTGTGTGCACCATACCACACCTATCACCAAAGTCCATAGTCTATAGTCTTCCTCCATAGTACACTGGGCCCCCAGGAAGCACTTTGTTGATGCTTTTTCATTTACCATCGCCATGCCCAGCCACTCATTCTAATAACATTCCAAAGAGGTATGCTCTTAATTGGATAACTTTTTAAATGATGGTTTGATAAACAAAAAAAATCTAAGGGGTTTGCTGTAAACCAAGGTTTCCTCACCTTGGTACTGTTGAGATTGGGCCCAAGTAATTTCTTGATGAGTGGGGGAAGAGATGGTTTTCCTGTGCATTGTGGGATATTTAGCAGCACCCCTGACACCACTATCCACTAGATGCCTGTGTCACCCTCCCTCTACCCAATTATGATAATCCAAAATGTCTCCAAACATTGCCAAATGCGGTCCCCCTGCACCCCCACCCAGGGAGCAAAATTACCCAGGCACAGTTAGGAACCACTGATCTAAACTGTCAGTTACTTTGGTAAAGCATTAATTGTTTAGGAACTTAAAATGTTAACCTTCAGGAAATTCACTATGCGAGGAATGGGAGAAGGTCCTATAGATTCCATTGTGATGAACTATCTATTAGAAGATCTATTAGTAGAAGCATCTAATGATTTTTTTAAAGATTACTATTTATTTATGCATGTAGAACTGGGGTACAGGCCAGAGATGCGGAGGGTGAGAGGATTCACCAGGGACAGAGTGGGAGCAGAACAGGCAGATCTATGTAGTACACTGCTGAGGGGAGCAGCGGGCGGGTAAGGAGAGGTCTGCTGTGCCATATGGATCTCCTCCGGGGCAGGCGGGGATCGAACTCATACAAAAGTGGCTTAAGCTTCTTAGTGCAATGCTTTAACCCGCTGCGCCACCAGGGAGGGCCGCATCTAATAATTTTTACAAAGGTTTTGGAAATTTTACATGGCATGAGGTCTAGTGATAAAAGTGCTGTAGTCTGTCAAATGAGTCCTTTGTGTGTATGTATGTCCATTATTAAGTTTTAAATTCTCACATGGTGTAGCAGACCTCTCCTTTCTCACCCGCTGCTCCCCTCAGCACTGTATTTCAGTCAATCCACCTGTTCTTCCCACCAGTCTGTCTCTGGTGAATCCTTTCAACCCCCACAGCTCTGACCTACAACCCTGCTCTTGTATGCATAAATAACTTTTAAATAAATAAATGGGCTCTCAGCATACATATTATTTTGCAACTAACATTTTTTTTTACTCAATAGTGGTTTTGAGATCCCTCTAGATTGAGACCGACATGGAATTAGTTCATTTATCTCAACTGAAGATGAGACCTGAGATAAGCAGCCTGGGAATCTTAGTAACAACCTTTTGCTCAGTTCCTGGTATGCAACTTAGTCGCTGAGAGGAATCTTGCTTCCTGCTAGACCACTTACCGCCATGAGGCAGGATAGGCCTGAGGGGTCCCATGGCTGCTGACCCTTTACTCACTCGTGGTGTGCAACTATACGACTCTCCTCTTGGTCTGGAGGCACGTCATATCTAACCATGTTCAGCTGCCAGCACAAACCCACTAGGAACCTTGTAGAAACTGGAAGTGTATGTAAGCCCCTGACTTCCTACCAACAGGGCTCAGCCTTGGGATGTGGATCTGCTGAGTCAGTGCCAGTGCATTAAACCTGCTTCTTGTTAGCCCTGGTGTCCACATTTCCTTTGTGCCATGTAACACAACTGCTCCATTATAACACATACACCATTCATTCTCTTACTGTGGGTAGTTGTTTCTAGATTTCAGCTATTATAAATAATGTTGCAATGAACACTGACTAGTTCTTTAAATGTATATTTCAAGCCCTTTTCCTGCTGTATTTTTGCAGCCCATAGTTTCACAGATTTTTTTTTTCTCCCATGCTGGTAGGAGTTGACACATGTGGCCATGGAAGATGAAGCAGAGTTAAAAACTGAGCCTTTCTCCAGCAAAAGCCTCTTGGAATTAGAGCAGCACCGAACTCTCCTCATGGAAGGTCAGGAGCAGAGGCTGCTGGTGCTGCATCTGGTGGCTATTCTGTGTGAGAGAATGTCTGAGCAGATATTCACAAACATCACTCAGGTTAGTGGCTACTCCTTTCCAGATCCTAGCCTGTTTCGGTTTCTTTATATTCTTTCCCCTTCCTGCCCCCTCCCACCACAATGCCCAGGAAATGGTACTCAGAATGTGGTTCGATGAGACTAGCATCAGTGTTACCTGCAACTCTGCTTAAGCATGTAAGTACCTGAGCCACCCAGGCCAAGAGTCAGCACTTCCATAATCAGCATGTTTAACAAGCTCCTGAGTGATTTTTCATGCACATAAAACTTTTGAGTATTGTTTTAACTGCTTGTTTGTTCTAACACAGTGGTTTTCAACTCTTGGGGTAAATAAAATTGTATATTTTTAGAAATATCAATGTCTGGTCCATTTTTAGAGCTGCTAATTTAGCACATCCAGGCTACAACCTGGACATCTGTATATATATATTTTAAATAATATAATAGCTTGTTTTTACATCATTTTGTGCCCTTTTCCATCTAGGTTGTAATCCCCATGGGCTTCCTTCCCATCACCACATCACCTGTGGGCATCTGTATTTTTTAGAGCTCCATGATGGTTCTAATGTGTACCAAAGGTTGAGAATGTAGGAACTCAAATTTGAAAAAACAATCACTAACAATAATCCCTGCTTTGAATTTTTTAGTTCCTCTAACTCACAGTTTATCTCCACAGAAGCCGGTAAAGTTTAAAAATTTTTTTTAAGATTTTTTTTAAAAAGCTTTCAAGGTAGTATATAATTAGGTGAACCAGTGCCTGCATTTTTTTTTTCAGTGCCTACATTTTACCCACTCAGACATTATTTTTATGAGCTTTTTAAAAATAGGAAATAAAAATAATGAAGCACCAGCAGGGCCATCTCCATATTTTACCACTTTAGCAGAATTAGCTTTTGCTTGGTTGGTGAATAGCCGGTTGTAAGAGCGTCTGATTGTCATGCTTAAATCGGATTCTCCAGCTCTTTGTATGGTCCTCCTTGTCGGCTGCCTTCGGGTGTTGCTAAGCAGCATTTCACTATAGCTCCTGCTGAGAAAATTTGCAGCTGCCTGTCAGCTCTGACTTATCACGCCTGTTTAATGAGAATTATGTTCATGATTTCTTTCCTGGCTTGTTCTCCCTCAGTTCACTGACCCTTTGTTACTCAGTAGGGTGATTTGTTTTTCCTATGTTTATATCAGTTCCCTGTAAAGACTTTTTACCTAGACCTTATGTTTTTGTCTCAGGATGCTAGTTGGAAGGGGAAATGGCCTGAAGGCTGATATGACTTGCATTTGCCACTTATCTCTAATTAAGGAACAATGGTGGTAGCCTGATAGAGAAGTGATTTGTCCCATGAAATTATCCTTCAGCTAAGGTTAGCTGTATCAGGACATTAAATCCAGAAACATTAAATTTCTGTATCAGAAGCATTAAATCGCATTAGCACTTATTGCTAATGATGACTTTGATAAGTTATTTGACACACACACACGGATTTTGTAAGTTGTAATAAATTTTGTTACTATAGGAATCAAGATTTTCAGCATAAAGAATTATAAATGTCAAATGTAAAAATATAAAAGACCTTGAATAAGAACACTGTAATAGTGAGTTTCAGTTGGGTGTATCAATAGGAACTGGTTATTTTTATCTTCTGAAAAAATAGCCTGGTCCACTGTTGGTGCCAAGAAGCAATGACAACCCGGTAGCAGTGAGCATTCAGGATGCCAAATTAGAGTTTCTATGTACCATTTCCTACTAAAAGAACAAATTGCTCACTGGAGTAGAGATTCACTTGAGGGTCTAGGGCAGAATTGTACACTGTAAGCCTCAGGGTGTCTTGTGTCTGAATAGAAGCAAGCTGTTTGAGATTAATGGCATCTGGGCCAGCCTGAAGGGGTCCTATTGGCCATCCTAGAACAATTTTACCACGAAAAAGAATAATGCCTGCAATGGACTGAAAAACATCAAAGTTATTTTAAGAAAGCCAAGAACTACCCCCCTCCCCCCACCAAATCTTTTAGGACATCTTTGAATTATTTTGTAGATTGATAATAGAGGGCAAAACTATTTATTTTGCCTTTTTGTTTTATAGGAATTTTACTTATTGTAACCAAATAGACTTAAAGGAACGTTTTTCTTTATACAAGAATTACAGCAAAATATTTCCCAGAAAACCACAGAGGATGACATTTTGCAATACCCTGTTGAAAGAATGGATCTAGGTAGTAATCATCAATGTCTGCCAAAATCATTCGGGGTACTTTCTAGTGAAGATATTAGGTCAAATATACCCAAACCAACTACTTGTTTTTACATAGCATTTTATTTAGAAAACTCAAATTTAAGAACATTTTATAGTGAATACCTGAATATCTACCACATAGATTCTACCATTAACATTTTATTAAACTTCCTTTATCATTTATTTACCCGTATGTCCATCTATCCAACTCATTTTTGAGGGATTTCAGGCTCAATGTCGATATTAGTGTATGTCTCCCTAAATATTCAGCTCCAACTCATGAGTCACAAACAGCTGCAGCTGGGTGTGGTCGGAGACACATGCCACCACCTGGGGAGGGTTCTCAGCACAAACGAAACCAGAAACCCCCAAGCTGAACCTAAATCAAGGAAACTAGGTAGAAGACAGCATTAAACAATGCCAGGAGGAAGCAATCAGCTAAATCCAGAATGTGGGAAATTCTGTAGTACAAATAGCCCAGTGTTTTCATCAAATAAATGGCATTAAAAAGGCAGCAGGATCATAGAGATTAAAAGAGACTGATGAGACCTAACAACCGAAAGCATTTGTGTGGATCCGGATTCAGATATACCAATTGTATGAAGATATTTTTGAAAGTTATGGACCAGGTATTAGAAAATAAAAGAAATTGGTCATGGGGTATCATCATGGTATGGTTGTTTTTTTTGGCGGGGGTGGGGAAGGGAAAGAAAAAAGAAACATTTCCTTTATTTATTAGAAATGCATAGTGGAGTATTTATGGATGAAAGATTAAAAATTCAGTCAAGAGTGTTGGCAGATGGTGTATCAGTATGTGAGATACTGTAGAGAGAAGGGAGGCTTGTGCTGGTGGATGCGCTGATACAGAGCCCTTCACCAACTCCCAGGTTCTTTGATCTCTCAAACATGTTCCAAAGGTTCACAGCAGTGAGTAATATCAGTGCATATCTCTGCTCTGGTGGGGCTCCCATTATACAGGGAGGGGAAAGAGACACTAACAACTTAGTAAAGCACACACTGTGGTAGGTGGTGATCAGTGCTACAGAGGAAAATCCAAGATGGATAAGGGAATCTGATAAAAAGGTGGTCATGGAGAATCTCATTGAAAAAAAGCCTTTTGAGCAAGGATCTGGAGACAGAAAGAGGAAGCTGTAGAGATTCCTAGGGGAAGAGTGTTCCAGATATGAGAGCATATGTGGAGTGTGGAGGGACCGTAAGGAGGTTGGTGGAATTGGAGTGGAAAGAGCCAGTGCCTTTTGCGGCTTTGCAGTTAGCTGCCACCTTCTGTGCGCCTCTGTATTAGTTTACTTTAGCTGGTAGAGTAGATGAGTTTCCTCACGGTGGGTTTTTTCTTTCATACATTAAAAATGGTTTAAACATAAGGAACACACGCTCATTGTAAAAGCATTTAAAAAGTGTAGAAGGTCAGCATTTTACAAAGTCAGGAGTTCTAACTGATGATATACTGAGTGCATGTGTTTCTCAGCTTCTGGAAATGATAGGAAGCAGTACAGCAAGAGAAGAGAGACAACAAATTAAAGAGGATAATAAAAAGGATTTGGAGACTGGAAAATAGTAGCTGATTCAGCAAGCTTCAGAAAGTGGAAAGCTAACTACCTACACAGGAGAAGTCAAGAAGCACTTACCTCTATAAAGCGGTTGACATTTTTTAGAAACAAAAACAAAAACAAAAAAACAGAAGCAAGTTGCTTCTCACTGCAGGAGCCTGGACACAGTGGAGCCGCTAGATCAGCTTAAAACAGGTAGAAAGGCTGAACAAGCTCTGTGCATCTCCATAGCCCCCTTCCTCAGCTTTGTGCACCCACCTCTCCTCCCCAGCAGAAACTGAAGGTTTATTCTTGAGAAAGGTTGAACCTGAGAGACACTGAACTTGGGTGGTCGTGACAAGCTGAAAACGTGCTCAACCATGAGGCCCAGCACCATTTTGTTCAGTTGCCAGAGTCCTGCCATCAGTTCTGTGTCCCCTCAGAGTGTGTGAGCATCAAGTGTGTTAGTACCTGTGTGTGGTCAGATGGCACTTGGTAAATAGGAGCTGTTTAATGTTAACATTCAACTGTAAAATCACTCTGCCCCATAGAGCCAGAATCAAATGGGGAGGGCACTGCTGTTTTTTCATTATAGTCGTTCAGGACTCTTTGCCTTTTTAAATTACGTATCTTTACAAACATTTTTAAGCTAAAGTCTCTCTCCCTTCTCCACACAGAGACATAAATTCTAGAACAGGTTCCAGTCACATGCCTATCTGCCAGAATCAGAGGCAATGAGTAGTCAGGCTGTTGATGGTTTCCAAATGGGTATGTGGCTTGAAAGTTTGGGGGAAAGGAAGCTTCATTGACTCACACTGTCACACATCAGTTAATAGTGTTCTGGTTTTGTTTTACATACATACAAACATAGTTTTCTTAACGAAAACAGGATCATACAATTTTTCCAACATTTAAAATACATATATATCTACAAATAGCCATAGCTACACCTGTATCTATATACCTATAGATCTATATCTGTCTGTTGAGGGGAGAAACTTAGAGTCAGATTACTAGATCATTCTAGTGATTTAACAATACTTGAGCTGAAATAGAAGCTTTTGTAAACAAAGAATGCTTTAGAAACTTCTTCACAGGTAAAAATAGGTGACTCCCTACTCCTAGGTATCTACCCCAAAGACACAAAAACACTGATTCAAAAAGATACTTGCACGCGCGTATGTTTACTGCTGCTTTATTTACAATTGGAAAGACATGGAAACAACCCAAATACCCAAAAGTGGATGACTGGATTAAAAAGATGTGGTACCTGTACACAGTGGATTATTACTCAGCAACCAAAAATAAATAAATAAATAAATAAACACATGCCTTTTGCAGCAACATGGATGGAGCTGGAAAAGATGCTTAGTGAAATAAGCCAGAAAGAAAAGGAAAAGTACCGGATGGTTTCATTCATAGCAGGAGTATAACAGACCAGGCAAGAAAATAATAATAATAATGAACAGCTATATACCAAAGACATTTTATGGGGGTGGAGAGGGAAATGGGATCAAAAATGGTGGGGGGAGGGAAATGCACTGGACTATGGTGATGGCACACGGGTGATTTGGTGATGGGAAGCCCACGGGGATTACAGCTGAGATGGAAAAATGCACATAATGTTGTAAAAATAAACTATTATATTATTTAAAAAAAAATAGTGCCCCAAGGTGTCAGTTTCAGCATTTTCTCTAGGAAAGGCCGAAGTCCTTAACTTACAGTGTCAATATAAGTCTTAAGTCTAGAGAAGGGGGTGAAAATGGCCATAACCAGCACTGTCATTTCAGTAAGTGGAACTTTTAATAACCTTTCCAGTTTCTGGCCTTGCTCTAAAAGACAAGTGTTAACAAGCCATTTTCCTGACTTTAAGCTTGCAATAAAGATTCAAGCGGAGTATGTGACTTGCTCAGGGAACTAAACATGCAAGTTTGCATGGTGTTTAGAGGCTTATTCTGGTCTATCTCAGCCATCCCATTTTCAAAATGACTTTTCCCTTTTGAGTCATTAATCCTAAATATGTGTGCTGCATGCGTGTGTGCACATATGCGTCTGAGTGTGCTGTTCTTTATTCTAAGGTGTTTCTTTTGAAGGTGAATAATCCAAGTGCAGTTCAAATGATGCTAACCAAATTAACTCCTCTGAGTTCATATTTGTTAGGTAAATGCGATGTAAAATCTTATATATGAATAATCCTTTAAAATATTTGATACTGGGGCCCTCCCTGGTGGCACAGCGGATTAAAGCATTGCACTGAGAGGCTAAAGCCACTTCAGCATGAGTTCGTGCCCCGGAGGAGACCACATGGTGAGGCAGACCTCTCCTGACCCGTCCGCTGCTCCCCTCAGCAGTGTACTTCCTTGATCTGCCTGTTCTGCTCCCCACTCTGTCTCTGGTGAATCCTATCACCCTCCACATCTCTGGCCTGTACCCCAGTTCTGTATGAATAAATAAATAAATCTTAAAAAAAAAAATCTTTGATACTGGGTCCTCCCTGGTGGTGCAGTGGGTTAAAGCACTGCACTGAGAGGCTAAAGCCACTTCAACATGAGTTCTATCTCTGCCCCGGAGGTGATCCACATGGTGTGGCAGACCTTTCCTGACAGCCCGCTGCTCCCCTCAGCAGTGTACTTCCTTGATCTGCCTGTTCTGCTCCCCACTCTGTCTCTGGTGAAGCTCTCACCGCTCCTGCACCTCTGGCCTGTACCCCAGTTCTGTATGAACAAATAAAAAATAAATCTTTTAAAAATAAATAAGATATTTGATACTTTAAAAAAATAACATAGGATCATTTGTATAAATTGTTGGAAGACACAGACCTCTACATAAATCACATGATTCTTCCCCCTTTTTTTGCTTGCTAGAAATATAGTTAAAACTAGAGGGGGGTTCTTAAGAAGGGAATGTCATTAGAAGAAACAGACCTAGGACCCTCTAAGATTATCTGAGAGTAACAAATTATTTCCATTTAATTTTCTGGTAAAATTCATGCAAAGTAAAGGAAGTTATGTTAGCAAAGTAAAGCATTTGGGAAACTAAAAACAGGATTTTTCACTTATTGACTTATCTTAAGTAGATACCTCTTGCAGTCTCAGTTTCTTCATCTGAAAATAAGGATTAGAACACCAACCTACTAGGGTGGATAGGAGACCTGTGCAGGTAAAATCACCACCCTGCTCCACAGTACCACTTATTCTCGAAAGTTCTTCATATCGTGACGTTGGTGAGGAAGAAGATGTAGGTATAAGATGTAAAGAGAATTTGGAAGTTTTTTCCTTTCACTCCTCATTGATTCCAAGTTTCATTTCTGTGGTAGGTCGTGGACTTTGTCGCTGCCACACTGCAGCGAGCTTGTGCAAGCTTGGCCCATCAGGCAGAGAGCACAGTGGAATCGCAGACCCTGAGCATGTCCATGGGGCTGGTAGCTGTCATGCTGGGAGGTGCTGTCCAGGTGAGTGGCAAACTTGAATGGAGGGAAAAGAAAAGAGAGAGACTGTTGCATCCCTCCCATGGCTTGTGAGAAATAAAAATGGATATGCAGGCCCTCTCTGGTGGCGCAATGAGTTAAAGCACAGCACTATGAAGCTATCGCAGTCAGTGCAGCACGAGTTCAATCCCTGGCCAGGGAGCTGACCCACATGGCGTGGCAGACCTCTCCGGACCCACCCGCTGCTCCCCTCAGCAGAGTATTTCAGTCGATCTGCCTATTCTGCTCCCCACTCTGTCGCTGCTGAATCTTCTCACCCCTGCACCTCTGGCCTGGCCTGTACCCCAGTTCTGTATGTATAAATAAGTAAATCTTAAAAAAAGAAAAATGAATATGCACACAGGAGGCCCAAAAAGCACTTGGCTAATGAGAATTCCCCCCAAGCTAGAGGGCAAAAACATTGTACCAGTTCTTCTTTGTCACCCAGGTGAGCTTGGCCATCAGCAGGGCAGTGCCTTTCCCTCCTAGGAAAGCTAGATTTGGAAAAGCCTGACAGTGCCTTGGTCTGTGGGGAATACTGTGTCCTCTTGATTGGCATGGAAATGGCTTGCCAGAGCTCAGCTGCTGTCCCTCCAGCTGGAGTCAGAGGAAAACCTCCCTAAGAGCTGGTCGCTCAGGGCTTCTCTATGTTGAACAGTTCATTTTAGCTAGGATAACACTTACTGTTAAACCCATACCACTCAGTATGTTAAAGCTTTGTTTCTAAAGCATACCATGTATCTTTTGGATATTTAATTTATAAATTTTAGGTTATTCACTCAAAAAATATTTAGTACATACTTGCTGTGTGCCGGATATTGAGCTAAGATGCTGGGAATGCTGTGTGGACATAGCCATGGTCCCTACCCTCCTGAAAATGGACTGAATAAGGGACTCAGACAGTAAATAGCCATTAAAAATATATCCTTCGATGTGGAGAGAAAGGAACTCTCCTGCACTGCTGGAGGGAATGAAAACTAGTACAACCACTATGGAAAACTGTATGGAGGTTCCTCAAATTGCTAAACATGGAGCTTCTATATGACCCAGCAATCCTACTCCTAGGTATCTACCCAAAAGACACAAAAACACTGATTCAAAAAGTTTACTGTTGCTTTATTTACAACTGGAAAGACATGGGAACAGCCCAAATGCCCAAAAGTAGATGACTGGATTAAAAAGATGTGGTACATATACATAATGGAATATTATTCAGCAACCAAAAAAAGGAAACACATGTCCTTTGCAGCAACATGGATGGAGCTGGAAAAGATCATGCTTAGTGAGATAAGCCAGAAAGAAAAGGAAAATACCAAATGGTTTCACTCATAGCAGGAGTATAACAGAACAGGTGAGAAAATAATAATAATAAAAATGAATAGTTATATACCAGAGACAATTTATGGGGGTGGAATGGGGAATGGGATCAAAAACAGTGGGGGGAGGGAAATGCACTGGACTTTGGTGATAGCACACGGGTGATTTGGTGGGGGGAAGCCCACGGGGATTACAACTGAGATAGAAAAAAAATGCAAAAAATGATGTAAAAATAAACTATTATATTATTTATAGATATATATACATACATACATAAATATATATATACATACATATATATGTATATATATCTCCTTTGAGGGTCAGGAAAAGAGAGAAAATTTGCAAGCTGACCATTGATCTGTGGCTTACAGCAGGGGAGGGGCAGGGAGAAGGATAACAGCAGGGGAGGGAAGGTCACAGGGACTGTGGTGATGGATACTGGTGCGATGGTGGTGGGAGAACAATGGGGTGGCACCTGAGGGGCGAAGCCAGACACCATCCAGAAGTGAACAGTGATGCAAGAAAATAAGTAAGTTGGTAATAATAATAATAAAAGAACAGTGAACAAACAAGTGAAGACAGAGTGTTCTTTAGAAGTGATAATAAGTGTTGGTCTAAAATCAAATGTATCCATACAGTAGTTAGACATATTCTTTTTAAGTTTATTTGAATTGTCAAAATGCTTTTAGAGGATCAGTTGGGATAATGATTCCAACTTGGAAGTATTATTAAAATTCTAACAGAATTTAAGACTATCTGAATGTTTATGTTCATGTAGAAATAAACATAAAAACTTGAGTTTCCAATGCTAAATATATCCTTTGAACTGAAAGAAGTACCACAAAAGAGAAGTAGAAGGTACCCAGAGAACATGAGATGCAACGGAGTCTGGAATTGTTTCCAGGGAGGAAGTGTAAGTTGAAGTTAAGATTTGAAGGGTGAGTGGGCGTTGGGAAAGGTATATGGTAGAGGGGGAGGAGACTCTTCCAGTTAAACAACGTGTCACGTACAAAGCCTGGGAAGCAGGAAGGAGCTTGGTGTTCTTGGGATCCCAATAGAAGGTCAGGGGAGCTGACCTATAGAGACGAAGGGTCAGAGCAGTGCCAGACGAGGGGGACAGTGAGGCGTGGGTGTGTTTTTGCCCACAGGCCCTGGGTAACCACACGCACATGCAGAGACTCCGAGGAAGCAGGATAGGCTTCGTGCCAGTATTAGGAAGTCAAAGTGGTCATAACGCTTAGCCTTCTGCAAGTAGGATTTTGAGTTTGAGGACTCAAATCTGATACTGATTCTTGGTATATTATGGATAGAATTGTCCTCTCGCTAGCATGTCCTTAAGGGGAAAAGGGATTTTGTCTGAGTTTGTGGTTATCATGAAGCCCATTTCATGGTAGATTTACTTAGCACTCCTAACTTTATATTTCCTATGTAGTTTGAAGAAAAAACAGGTTTGTCTCAGTTTCTTTCTTTCTTTTTTTTTCTTGTCTCAGTTTCTAGCATTGTATCATATTTGGCTGTTAGAACTATCAAGAAGAAGTTCACTGCTGGCATCATTTTTCTCAAGGTTATTGTTACTAGGTTTAGTTGTCTGCTTGGTTTTGTTTTTCATGTTGAGTATTAATATGAATAGTCTTTTCTTTTGTAAGTGGAGAGAGAGTAGATGTGTTTTTTACTTTGCTTTCCTCTTACTTAACACATAATTTCAAACCTCATCCTAAGTGGTAAATAGAGCACAGTTATCTATAGCTTCCCTTTCTAGGGTTTGGCTGTGTGAATTAGTCATCCTCTAAGAGAAATTCACCTTCCTGATGTAAATGAACTTCCTGTCCCTGCCCTTCTGTGAGCCATCCTGACTCACCATGGCATCCTGAAATCCTCTGACTTTGCATTTAGTTAAGTGGGCATAAGCACGTCTCCCTTATACTTTTGCCCTAGATCTATTAACCTTTTTTCCTGTTTGATTCACACATTTAGAAATGGCTTCTATCATGGTGCTAGGTTTTCTGTCTTTGTATTAAGGGGACCAAGTCATGATTCTGAGTGATGTTTGCAGGTGATCATTGTCAAGGAAGGTTTTCTGCTTCAGAGTTCACTTCAGAGACCTGAAGATTATACCATTACTGTCCCTCAGTGGTACTCATTGTTTGACTAATGAAACAGTACCTAAAAAACTTTGAACATCTTTTTTCTTTTCCTTCCTAATTTATGAAATCAAAGTGATCATTAGAGTTAACTTGGAGAAAGTGAAGACTTAAGGCTAGTAACAAGATAACTGTATTCCAAACTCACTAAATTTCTGGGCTGCTCACCACTAAAAGTATGGCGTCGGTAACTTGCCAGGCCCTCAGGAAGCAGATTCTGCAGAACATTCCAAGGCCTATTATATACTTGAAAGCTGACTTGAACTTTTGAGGATAAGGGTGGGACTGAGATGTGAACCCAGATTTTTAGTGCTTGCCATGCTCATCCCATACCATTGTCTAAGAATATTGCAGAGTGAACTCATTCCTAGGGCCTCTTTGCCCTCATGGAGCTTACCTTTAGTGGTTATGATTACTCTGATTGATGGATTCTCTTTTGTAAAAAGAGATTTCATATTGCTGTATCTTATGTGTAGCTCATTATAAAAATGGCATGTAGACTGAGAACACATATAAAAAATACCATTTTAATAAATTCAAGTGAATAAAACCGAGACATAAAAGCTATTCACTAAATATCAAAGAAACATAATTGATATACAGAAATGAGAACATAATGATTTTTTTTTCAGAATTAAGAAATTTTAGGTGAGAATTTTATTGCTGGAAGAAACCGTCAGATTCTTCTAAAACAGTGGCTTTTGCTGGAGCAGTATGAGGTATGGCAGAATGAGGGGAGCCCTTCTCTGGCTGTCACCCAGTTGTAGTACTTCTGGGAGAACCCAAGCTCTCTCCCACTATCCGCTGCCTTCAATCCTGACCCTACCAGATCAACCCCCAGTTCTTAAATTTGAAAACGTGCCAACATTTATAACCACTCGCCATCTAATTTGTTTATTCCTGCCACCCTGAAAGAAATCAGTGGTGAGTTGACTTGACTTGCCCATCCTACTCCTGAAGCATTCCATTAACTCCATGGAGAGGCAGGCAGAGGAGAAATCTGCCACTCACTTGTGGGCTGCTCCTGCAGGCCTCAGAGCTTTTACACAGACTTCTGCACTCTGGACAGAACATCTATGTTGAAAAGTAGTGACAGAGTGACAGGGGGGCTATTTGGTAAGTTCTCGATTTTGATAGTGACTCTGTGACCCTGAATAGTAGCAAAGTGCTTCATTTTCTCATTCACCAATTAAGTGAATATTGCTATACACTTCAACACTTCTGTGAATTTTTTTAACAAACAATTATCACCTATAGTCTTAGATTTCCTTGATCATTCTCATAGTGGTAAATCTGTAGACTTATGAAGCTGCAAGTATGTATAACTTTAAGTACTTTATAAGCTATTTGATTCAGAATCCACCTACCTGCCTGTGAAGATTAGTGAAGTTACCAAGTGGAATTAGATGAATCCGACAATGACTAAGAAGTTTGAAAATAGCAAGAAAAAATGGTTGTTCTTTTTTTTTTTTTTTTTTTTAAAGATTTTATTTTATTTGTGCATACAGAACTGGGATACAGGCCAGAGATGTGGAGGGTGAGAGAATTCACCAGA